ATTAAAAATTATTTTTTTATTTTGTACAAACAAAATAAATATATTGAAAAATATAAAAACAATAAAAAATTATACTTCAGATGTTAATTTAGTATCAAAAACGTAAAATATTTGAGTAGCCCGAGATATAGCCAAAGATTGCAGTGCCATAGCACTAGCGAAAATTTAAATTTGCTGACTGGAATTCTTTCGGATAATTGACGCTCTACTTTACTCTTATAGGTAAACAAAATCAGCATTATATTTTACAACCAGTATATTTAAAAAACTCACTATATTTTAAAATACTTTTATAGTATTGAAAGCAATTTTTTATCTTGGCTTTTTATTTTTAATAATAGTTATCACAGAAATGTCCTGAATAGTTATTGTATCAGTACACTGACATTTAATTTTACATTGTCACAGCAGTACAGTTCTCTTATAAGCCAATAGAAGCTGACACATCTCTTATAAACAAAGCAGGCTGTATGTTTCAAACATGCAAAAATAGGCAATTTTTAACATATAACATACAAGCATGCTCTTATTTGCATGGACAGTACAAATATGCTGTGTTTTTAAATACTAAAACATTAGCATAGATAGCAAAGCAATTTTTACATTAACATTTTCAGCCTACTTTATATATCAAAAATTTTTTTAAATCAAATCACTGAATACTCTATCATTATTTAAAAATTATGAAAGTATAGACTATAAGAACATTATTTTAAAAAACTCCATTGGTTCTACACTCCCAAAAAAAGTTCAGTTTAGCAGAAGCCTTGACTAGCTTCAGAACAATCTTTCTGTAAATTTTGGCCACTGATGCCTTTGTGTTATCAACAGTGTTTCAATATTAAGAACTGTCTGATAATCTAAATATATATAACTCAAAGGTGACTGACATAGTGATCTATCAACGCACAGCCCAAACCACTGGACGGATCGGGCTGAAATTTGGCATGCAGGTACACGTTATGATGTAGGCATCCGCTAAGAAAGGATTTTGATCAATTCTACCCCCAAGGGGATAAAATAGGGGATGAAAGTTTGTATGAAACTTTGTCAATTTTAAACCGATCGGGCTGAGACTTTGCATGCATAAAGCTACTATGACGTAGGCATCCCCTAAGAAAGGATTTTGATAAATTCCACCCCTAAGGGGATAAAATAGGGGATGAAAGTTTGTATAAATCTTCTTAGATTTTCGACTGATTGAACTGAAATTAAAGATTGGAGCTACTATGATGAAGACGTCCGCTTAAATAGGATTTTGATAAATTCAACCCCCATGGGGATAAAATAAGGGATGATGGAGGATGTAAATGTATTAGTTTGAACCTATCAGTACCTAATGGAACGAATAAATTAAGACGAACAAAATAATTTTTAGTTCTAAATGTTGACAATAGATGGCGTTAGTAGTATTTTAAAACGCGCTATCGTTGTGTTTTCACTGAGTTACATATACCCGATGATGAGTGGCCGCCGTATCTAATAGTACATACTATACCTAAATATTTCTAGCGGATTATATTTGACGATTTTGGCTGTTCTTTTCTTGGCATATTTTGGATTGCATTTGCTTTGTTTCGGTTTAGTAGTTTTGGTTATAGACTCTGCTTTGTATTTGGCATTTGTTTTGTTTTCGTTTGGTTTAAGTATAGGTTTTGTCGGTTAGACTTTTTTCAAATGGCTAAAGAAAATCTGAACGTTAATGGAGAAGTTGAAGAATGTTCTCTCATGGACAGTTTTATGTTGCTTGCTCATGAGTAAGTTCACCCAATAGCTTGATACTTTTAGCACCTAATGACAGATTAGTTAAGAATATTGTGTACAAAGAAGTTTTGTAGGCCCTAATTTTTTACACACACTAAACAAAAGTAAAGCCGCAAAAACTATACCTAATTAATAATAATACTTCTTAACGCGAGCGAAGCCGCGGGCAAAAGCTAGTGGTCTATAAAGTAGGTTAAAAGCTTTAGAGTTGTAAAATGATTTCACTGTTTATGGTAGCATTGTATTATTTGAAAGTGAACAATAATTCGATGACATCAATGACACCTGATTTTATGTTTTTTTATAACCATGATGACAAAGTATCAGAAATAAATGACATTCACAATATGACTACTTAAAATTATTAATTTTATAAATTATCTTACAATGTTTATGAAATGAAGTGAACAATATCTATTTAATAAATTTAATATTATCTTTTAAAAATGAATGGGCTATTATATCTTAAATGAATGTTTAATTTATAATATATATTACCTGAAAAGGCAATTCTAAATCTACATGAGCATCAATAATAGTATTTTCATTTTTATTTATTTCAGAATTTTCATAACCTAAATTAAAAACATATGAATAAAAATCAAATGTGACATTTAGTTGTTTATGAAAAAAATTATTTAACTTTTATAAAAATAATATATTAATAATTATCATATTTATATCAAATGCCACTAATCAAACAATTAAGTCAGATTTATTATCAGGGTATGTTTAGAAGAGTTTATGATTTAGGCCTGGTTTCTTATATGATTATATACATGTCACGCCAAAGTAAAAGCTTAAATATGTCTGATTGCCTTAGAAGCATGTAGTCAACACCAGTCTGTGGCCAGTACTCAAACAGTTAAATAATAGTTAAGTAATAGTACTTAAAGTAAGCAACTTAATCACCTACCTTTAGTCAAAATTTCATAACATTTATATACTTAAATACACAAAATGTAGTCTGGCAAATTGATCTGGTATAATTATTTGATTAGGGGCTGATTTCTTATCATTATATCAAATATCATCATTCTTATATTAAAATGAGATATTAAATATATTTTCATTAGAACTATCTGGAATAAATTTCATTTTTCAACAATAAAAGCATTTTAGTTATATAAATGGATTAAACCAACATTAAAAATTTTTAAAAATCATATGATATTATAATAAGTTAAATGGCTTATTTTAAGTATAATAATTTACTCAAAATAAACTGTTTATTAATTTATCATAAATATATTTGTTAGCATATCAAAACAAAATTCTTTTTAACAAATTTTGATGTGTAGTATATAGTATATAGAATAATAAATATCAAAGCAAAAATATTATGATAAAATATTTTTAAAATATCTTAATTTACAGAGTTTCCATTAAATTAAGACTCAATTCACAATCTCCATCAAATTCTAAATTCAAAAGATTTTAAATAATTACATTACCAAAAGTATTTGAAAACCTACTTATGTTATATATTCAACAAACACTTCAATTTTGAAATCTATGATAGTATAAGTGGGGGACCCAAAAATAAGAGGAATAATTTTGTGGAGGGTGGGAAGTTCATAGTATGTGTATCCACCACTAGATGTCAGTAGATGGAATCCATCATGATCAGTATGCAAAGCGACGTTGGTGTGTTAAAACTTGTTGGCTCGTAGCGATTTTTTTAGTGAGTGTTGTTTTTCGTTTTCATCAAAAACATCAGATTTTAAAGAGCAATGTGCTGCTGTGAAATTTTGTGGATTGGATATGGTTGAAATGATTCAACGATCTTATAAACAACATGCTATGAGTAAGACAAGGGTTTATGAGTGGTTTTCTTACTTTCAAAAAGGAGAGTCTCTTGAAGATCAACCCAGGTCTGGTCATTCATCCAATGTTCAAATTGACAAAAATGTTGAGAAAACTCTAAATCTCATCACTGAAGACACCATCAAACCATTGATGAACTCATTGATTTGTCTGAGATTTCATGGAGTTCGATTCAGCAAATTTTGTCACAAGAACTCAACGTGTGAAGTGTTTCCACAAAGTTTGTTCCACACTTGTTGACCACTGATCAGAAAGGCAATCACTTGGCAGCTTGTCAGGCTTTGAAAGAACATTTGGAAAATGATCCAGACTTGTTTTCTAAGATAATAACTGATGATGAATCATGGTATTATGGTTACGATCCAAAAACCAAATGTCAATCCAGTCAGTGAAAAACATCAGGATCTCCTCATCCCAAAAAAGCAAAACAAGTAAAGTTGATTGTGAAAACCATGTTAATACGATTTTTGATATGAAAGGAATTGTTAATTCTGAATTCATCCATCCAGGCCATACAGTCAATCAACTTTGTTATCCGAAAGTCCTCAAAAAACTTCATGATGCTGTGAGAAGGAAAAGAAAAGACTTGTGGTGAACGGGGATTGGTTTTCCATCGACAATGTGCACACTCACATGACACTCTCTGTGAAGCAGTTTTTGACAAAAAATAGCATGACACTCCTCCCCATCCCACATTTGCCTGATCTCACACCTTGCATTTTTTTTTTTTTTTTGTTTCCCAGGATGAAGAGGGAACGCAAAGAAAAGTGTCTAATGACAGACGTGCTAAGAAGCATTTCGGAACAGGAATTTTCTAGGTGTTTTGAACAATGAAAAAACATTTGGACAAGTGTATTGAGGCTAGTGGATAGTATTTTGAAGGAGATTAAAATATGTTGTTGTTAAAATAAATACACAATTTTTTTCTGAATTTTTTTTTCATTATTTTTGGGTCCCCTCACATATACTAGAGCCACTTCTGAGTGAAATGTTAACAGTAATCTTTCTGGATATTTCTTATTAGAACACTCACTTGTACTTGTATTCTAAATTCAGGTACCATATATAACCTTAAACAGTATATTTCTTCTAATTCCCATGTAAAAGCTATTATCAAAACTGATTTGGAAGAAAGACACTTTGATCAATATCTGATTCATATATTGTTTCATAATTTTGAATAAGAGTTGAATAATCTAGTATTTCATTCTTGTTAGGTGTATTGAGTTCACGGGTTGGATGTCACGCCAACTTATGTCAATCAAAACTTCCAAGAACGTCAGTCTATGAGGCGTTAAATATACTTGAAATTATTTTTAATTTACGAGCGCTTTCGACGTAAATAAGCACGTCGTCTTCAGGTAAAATTAAATTCGAATAAAGAATTCGAACCATACATTTAAATTTAAAACATTAACGATACTAGCCGTTTTTTGAACATACAGAAAAGAGATTTTAAATTTAAATATTTAGAATTAAACATTTAAAATTGGTGCGCATGCGTTTTAAAACAAATAAACATCGATTGGAGTGGCTATTAATTATTATGTGAACGCGAAAAATTGGCGCACGTGCACCTTAACATGCATAACATGAGAGCCAATTAGATGTCTATTAAGAACAATTAAATTTTTAGAATTTAAATTAAAACACTTTGTAAATACGTATAAAATTTTTGGCACGCATGCGCCTTAACATAGACAGCATAGAAACCGATCGGAATAGATCCACAAGTGCAAGTTTATGTTAAAATTTAAATTTTAAATATTAAAGCGCGGGACATAATTTAAAATACATAACACACGTAAAAAGACGCACATAAAGGGGCCGACATGTATGTGCTTTGAATCATGTAGGAGGTGCGGGAAGAGAATGCAAAATTATTGTTGGTTTTTTAACCGCCTGAATAAATTAATCCAGACGTCCGGTAAATCGAGGGTAGGGGTGTTGCACGGGGAGAGCAGTTTTGTGAGGAGGGCCTCCCAAATGTATATCAAGTTCCCTTCATCACAGCGTTTGAGTATTTCCACTCGATTCCAAAGCGCTACGTGGTGGTGTTGTATCACCAATTTGGAAAGTTCCGTGTCACAATTGCCAAGTGCCACCGAACGTTGGTGTTCAGATATGCGAGCAGCCAGCATTCTCGTAGTCGCTCCTATATAATTGGTGCATAGTCCTGATATTGGATTCTGCAGGGGAACGGAGTATACACCAGATTTTTCCAGGGTG